GGAAGCTCCTGCTGAGGTTTTTTGAATTCCTGCCCTTTTTCCCCACCCCAGTTTTTTTGAACTTACAGCTGGTCCAGAGGTGTAACTCTGTAGGGCAGTTAACCCAAATACTGTTTTTGAAGAGAGGAGCTTTGCGAATAGTGTTCATTGTTTTAATATATTTTTCTTTTTTAGAAGGGATTTAAAATATTTTGTTGTAAAAAAAAGCACACAGTTGAAAAAAGAAAAGTACAAGGTTGAATGTACAAGGTTGAAAGTACAGAGAACATGGGAAGCTCAAGGAGGGATACGAAAGCCGTCCTAAATGTCACAGCTGATCCCAGGCTTAACTGGATTTTTGGTTTAAGCTCAGGGCCCAGGGTTAGGCCCTATGCACAACCCCAGTGCGCAAAGTCTCCGCCTTGGCCCCAGTCGCAGAAAGGAGACACTGTCCGTTTCATTCTCCAAGGGCTGGCCCAGCAGGGACTGACTGACCTTTCTTGAAGCCTGGGAGAGTCAGGGATGATAGGTCCTCTTCGGCTTCCACCTCCTTTAGGTAGTTAAAGCAGAGCTGCATCATACACTCAGTAAATTCTCCAAAATTTATCTATATTCGCTTCAGAAAGAGAGAAATCTTTGTAATCAGTTTATAACTTGTCTTGTTTCAACAAAATCAAGCTGCAGTTTCTACAACCAAAAATTAAGTGCTAAAACCTGTCCCCCAACCTTGTGTTTGAATGGGGGGGGGTCTGTGAGCTTCAGAGGAGACCATGGTGCACAGCTGTTGCTACTGTCTCCCCAGCTGAGTCGGCTCCCTTCATTTTACTTGTCTGCTGCTCCCAAAAGGAATAACTTGTTTCCTGGCATATCCTCATTTACTTTTTTGCTTCAACGACCACAGCATTTACGTTTTCATGTGCCTAATGGGATATAGGAGAAAGAAATTTCACAGTCCCCCAAAAACTTTTGTCCTTGCTGAACAGTATTATTGACCACTGTGGGATGTAAGATTTAGTCATCCATCAAACTCGAAGTACAAAGCATTTACTATATTTTTCTGTTAGGAACCATGAGATACAATCGAATTTGTGTCCCTGGCCTCAAAGGCTTTATAATCTAGTAGAGACAAGAGATATGATGACTGTAAAGGGGTAAAAATCAACAGTGTTCATACAGTTATATGTGCATATGCTCCAGTTCCTTCTGCCCCCTTGTCTGCTTGACCAAGACTTTGGTCTATGCCATGTCCTCCAGGAAACCTTCACTGACATTCCACATCTGGGCTATGTGCCTGCCCTTTGCCCCCACAGCAACCTGTCTGAAAGTACTAATCACCTGTGTGCTCATTGTTTGTTACCCTGAGGCCTCTTGGGAGCCATGACTTTCATCTCTGGATTTCCAGTGCCTGAATCTGGAGCCTAGACTGTGGCTGGCACATACACGAGGTGTTCATAAAATGTTTGAATGAACGCATGATCAAGGTCTAATAGATGTAGCCTTGATAATTAAAGAACGGGATAGGTCCCACTCGTGTCCTTCAGATAATAAATGCAAAATTTTAAAAAGCGTGAAGTGAACCAGTAGAATGAGAAGGATGCAGATGATTGAGGAGGACATCAGGATGTGGAGAGGTGTGTGGGAGGGCGTTGGCTTGGCTTGGGGTGTAGGGATCAGGCCTGTCTGGAATAACAAGTGGTTATAAAAGACAGTGAAGCTGGATTAAAGAGGATTTTGAAAGGCTAGAAGAGTTTATTATTGATGTGGGAGTCAACATGGACTCAATAATGTTCTTTGTAGAAGCTAGGAGGAGTCAAAGTTATGTTTTAGTATGATTGATAGAGATTGGACTAAAGGGTGGAGAAAGGCTGAACAGTATAGGAAAAAGCTGTATTTCAGTGGAAACCTATGCGTGGTCCAGAGAGGCTGTGAGGAGATGGCATGGTCTCAAGGAGGGGGCATGGTCTATAGATGCCCCTTAAAACTTGCACTTTTTAAAAAAACTATTCCACAGAGAAGAGTAGCATCATGAGGAGCGTTTGATTTTCATTTGAGGCTATTATGTACTTTGTAGGAAGAAAGTCAATTTGTATTTCATTAGATGTATGAGAATTAAGATAGGGGGACTTTGAGTTGATCGGGACCTATATTTCTGGTTTGGTCCACTACTATTTTAGAATCTTTTACCAGATTGGGTGACATCATTTTCAGGGCCGAATGCATAATGAAAATGTGGGCTCCTTGTTCACATGATTAAAAATTACAAGATGGTAATGGCAGAGCATGAAACCAAGCTCAGGGCCCTGCTACGTGTGTGGACCTGTGTGGCCATGCAGATCGCACACACACAAGACTGGCCCGGTCCCTATACTGTAGATTGGTAGGCAGAGGGCTTCCTGACTGGACAACCCCATATGTGGCTCTGAGGTTGGTTACTGTGCTCAGCTTCATGACACTCATGGTCATGGAGGAAAAGCCAAGGAAGGAGCAGTGACTACTGACTGAGTGCTCAGGAGTTTCAANCCAAAGCCAAGGAAGGAGCAGTGACTACTGACTGAGTGCTCAGGAGTTTCAAGTGCTCCTGAAATTAAGCAGTACAGTGACAGAACATTTTATAAGTGCCTATTATGTTATATGTACAGTTCTAGGTTCTGGGGAAACACAAGTGAACAAACTCTGTTCCCTCGTGTGACTTATATTTGAAGGGGGATGGAGTGACAGACAATAAAGTAAGTAAATAAAATAGATAGTATGCCAATGGTGATAAATGCTATGAAGAAAAATAAACTAGGGAAGAGGGATAGGGCTTGAGCGGAAACAAAAGTGATTTAAATTGAGTGTCTAGTAAGGCCTCACTGAAAGGTAACATTTGAACAAAGACCCAAAAGAAGCAAAGGGGTGAGTTTGACAAATCTGGGAGCATCATTTCTGGCAGAGCCAACAGCAAGTGCAAAGGCCCTGTGGCAGGAGCCTTCCTGCCTTTTTTAAGACACAACAAGTAGGCAAGTGTGAAAGGAGCAGAGAATCGTAGGACAGGAGGTCCAGGTGGTAACTGGTTGGAGATGGAGAGACCAGATCACTTGCAAAACATTGTAAGTCTGAAAAGTGGAGGTATGACATGAGTAACCTACATTTTCACAGGATTTGATGAGGATGGAAAAGGCCTTTGAAATTGCTCTTGCCAAGATAAATAATCTCCACTTTGCAGAATCCACTGGACTCTCCTCAGTCTTTGCTCTTGCTCACTGACCTTTCAGCAGCATTTGAGCTTGTTGATGACTCTTGTCCTCAAATTGGCATCTTTATCTCCTACCTCCGAGGCCACACCTTTCCAGTCTTTTTTCCTCCATCTATTCGTAAGTGTAGGCCTTCCTCAAAATTAGGTATGTGGCCCTCATGTCATCCAAGCACAAATACTCTACTTGGGCAATCTTATCATTCCCCTAGTTCCATTCCAGCTATGTGCTAATACTTGCAAAATTGGTATCATTAACCAGGATGACTCACCCAAGCTCCAGACCCATACATCCAACTGCCTGTGGCCTATTTCTACTTTGATATCTCAAAGTCCTTCAAACTCAACTCGTGTAAAATGGAACCATTTTGTTCTGCTTTCTCTTTCCTTAATCCCCACCAAGTCTACTTCTGCTTCTACTTCTGCTTCTGTGTTCTCCATCTCAGTTAAAAGCAGGGCATCCGCCCTGACTGGTGTGGCTCAGTTGGCTGGATCTTTTCCCGTGCACCAAAGGGTCGATTCCAGGTCAGGGCACATACCCAGGTTGTGGGTTCCAAGGGTCGGTTCCAGGTCAGGGCACATACCCAGGTTGTGGGTTCCATCCCCCACTGGGGTGCATACTGGAGGCAACCACTCGATTTTCTCGCTCTCTCTCTTCTTTCTCTCTCCCTTTCTAAAATCAATAAAGAAGCATATCTTCCAATGAGAATTTTTTTTAAAAAAAAAAAGCAGGGCATTCACTTGATTGCTTAAGCTAGATATTTAGGAATCACCTTTAAGTCTTCACTTTCCCTCACTTTCTGTGAGTCCGTCACCAAGTCATCTTGATTCCAGTTTAAACGTCATGGGAATTGTCTCCCTCTCACCCTTGCTTCAGCCACCGTGTGGGACAAGCTCTCCCCAGTGCACAGCAATCAGACGTGAGGGGACACCCTGGACTGGAGGGTGAGCCCTAGAGCGGAGGAGGGAGGCAAGAGTGAGGTCAGACAGAAGGTCAGGTGCAGGTGACTTTACAGGTTTGGGGGCAGGAACCGAATGGCTTCTCTCCTCCCCATTAAACAGAGTGGAGGCCCCGCTGAGCGTGAAGTGCTCCAAGATCAAAGGACTGTGGTTGAAAGAGGCTGGGAAATGCTGCCTCTTGTTGCAGCTCCCTAGGTGTTAGCACTTTACAAGTTTAGAAAAATCTCAGGGGAAAGAGAAACCGGTCATATTCTTTGGCCTGAACAAATGAATGAATGTTTGTGGTGAAGGATTAATGTTTTTCCCTCCACATTTATTTCTAAACTCTCCCTTACCCTGCACCCCACACCCCAGAGAACAATTTTCCCCCCACACAACGCTGGAAAGCTCTGGGAGAGACTAGAGCTGCGATAAAACACTCGTGGAATTCCACCACTGGAGGCCTACATCTAAGCTGAAATCTGCGTGGGATTAGAGTATCCCGATCAGGTTTTTATTAAAATCTCCTAATGTTGCAAAAGTATTCCAATATAATTTATTTTGTGCATTACATATGCCAAACTGATATTGAAAAATGAATTAGGGTTCTTATCTGAACATCTGATTTATTGTAGGTCTTACTGCAGAGCTGTGGAGAAGTAACAGTCTTTTTTAATAAATGAAGCTTTTGGGTCTGAATAAATGAAGCAGGTGAACTGGATATCCATACGGGAAAAATGTGAGTTTTGACCCTTACCTCACATCAAACACAAAACTCATTTCCAAGTCAGTGTGAACTGTAAACGGTCAAACTTGTAGGAGACAACACAGGAGGTGATATTAGTGAACCTGAGGTAGGCAAAGATGTCCTAAATCGGGAACCAGAAACCACTACAAGAAAGAAGACTGATAAATCCAATTACATTACAATTAAGAACTTCTCTTCAGCCCGGCCGGGGGTGGCTCAGCGGTTGAGCATCGACCTAGGATCCAGGACATCTCGGTTCGATTCCCGGTCAGGGCACATGCCCAGGTTGTGGGTTCGATCCCCAGCCGGGGACGTGCAGGAGGCAGCCGATCAATGACTCTCATCATTGATGTTTCTATCTCTCTTCCTCTCTCTGAAATCAATAAAGATATATTTAAAGAAAAAAAAAAAAAAGAACTTCTGTTCAAGAAAAATATATCAAGAGAGTGGAAAAGCAAAGCAGAGCGTGGAGAGGAAAAGATATTTGCATTCCATGGCTTTTGCTCGGTGGTTAGAGCATTGGCCTTCGGACTGAAAGGTCCGGGGCTCGATTCCAGCCAAGGGCACGTGCCTCGGTTGCAGGCTCGATCCCTTGCCCTGATCAGGGCGTTTGGGAGGGGCAGCCAGTCGCTGTGTCTCCCTCACATCGATCTTTCTCTCTCTCTCTCTGAAAAGCAATCAAAAAAATATCCTCGGGCACGGATCAAAAGCAAAAAAGAAATACTGGCCCGGCCGGGCGTGGCTCAGTGACTTTGGGCGCATCATTCAATGTTTCCTGCCTTCGTTTCCTCAGTGTGCCCACATCCAAGGGCTGGTGTGAGGATTACATTAATCAATACAGATAACCAATTTGAATAGAGCATCGTACATTAACAGGGCCCTACCAAGCCCTGGCTGGTATGGCTCGGTTGGCTGGGCATCATCCCCTGCACGGGTGGGTTGTCAGTTCGATTCCCGGTCAGGGCACATGCCTGAGTGGCTGGCTCGGTGCCTGGTAGGGGGCGCGCAGGAGGCAGCCGATCGATGGATGTTTTGATCTCATGTGGATGTTTCTCTCTCTCCCTCTCGCTTCCTCTCTCTCTAAAAATCAATAAAAAACCTTTTTAAAAAAAGAATTGGTATATTTTCTAAAAAATAAAAATAAAATAAAATAATAGAGTCCAACCAAGATTAGCAATTCTTATATGTCCCCTGCATGTTTAAAGGTGAATGCTTGTTGCAGAGAAGTTAGCATACTCTCCTCATCAGAGTGACTGTCGCTGATGCACCTGCCATCACATTTCCTAGTGCCCAGCAACTGTGTGCCCGCGGGAGGTGCCACGCCACGAAATAGGAACCACCCCTCCCATAGTAACTGGGAGGCAATTCTCGCTTAATTGACCTGCAAGGATCTTGGCCATAGGGTCCTTCACCCAACAATTTTGACACATTTATAATCCCCTCACATAAAATCACAGCACCAACTGCACAGCTGTGCAAGCCACTGCTTCTGGTATTAAATTTGGATGGTTTTCTGAGAGTTAATGGAGAAAACAAAATTCCTAGCATTTCAGGCCTCACCTGTGAGTCTCCCCTCTGGGCAGCAGAGGCTCGAGTTCTTCCCCTGCCAGGGAGGCATCGCCAGGCGGCTTAGTCCCAGTTCCGCCCTGTGTCAACCGGCTTTCATTGGCGTCACTGGCATAATAGAAGCGCTCGTAAAGCCAGCACATCTCTGGAGCTGCTCTAGTTGGATCTCTCTTCACCCCTGGGGAGGTGGCCCGCCTTCGCCTTGGGGTGAGGAGCGATCATGAATCACCCGGCCGGTGTTTCTCGGAGTGCGGCTGTGGCCCTGGTGCCTGAGGTTTCCCTGGGGCGCTTGTAAAGACGCGGGCCTGGTTTCTCACCCCAGGCCCTCTGACTCAGAATCTTCGGGAGGGTGAGTTGAAAGTTGGCTTTTTAAAAAGCTTCCCGGGTGAGCCTGAAATTTGAGAACGACAGAAATGTGTGCCTCTCAATCCCACAGAATCTAGTTCTAGAGTTTGAAAATCGGTGCCCAACAACTCGAGTGGACTATAGTTTGTGGGACTGGAGGCCAGTTGAATCTATGTAGGAACTGAATTTGAGGACGAGATTTGTGAAGTGCCAGGAAGAATGCCTGAAACATTGTGAGCACACAGCACGTGCAGTCATGCTTTTCCTGGAGCTACGGAAATGGTTTGCCTTGCCTCTGAGAAGTGAAATACACAAAAAACAGATTTATTTCATTTTTATCAAGCCCACCAGTGAGTTCAAATGTAACTCTAAACTGTGTCTTGAGCACTCTGTTTAAGATTGGGGTAGTTTTCTTATCTGCAGGGAGTGTATCGATCAACCTACCGATTCAGGTAATTCTACACCTACATCAGAACCCTCAGCTGAAAGTCTTCCTAAGCGAATGAACGAACAAGTCCGCTGTGGCCATTCTCGGTGCCACTCACTCCCCACCACGGTTGGGTGATCTAGGACTCCTGACCTCAAGTACATAGAATTGCCCGAGGCTCTTACAAAAAAGCAGTTTCT